GATTGATCATGTGATCATGTGAAGTGACTTGAATGTCAGTATTGACTTGAGCCCCAAGGAGAGATAAACTAAAGGTAGCTTAGCAAAGGCCAAGATTTGGCAAAGCTACAGTAGCATCACAGTGACATTTTGAAAGTGGACAGTCTTGGTTCACCCCGCTCGACCTTAAATACTGTAAACACGGAAGTGTGGAAGTAGATGTGTGTGAGGAAAAGAGTGGGAGAACACGTAGACAAAAGAGAAAAGGGGGGGTTTGCATCATACAGTAAAATGTGTTTTATGAAGTCTTCTGAGGGCAGTTGTTGTGCCATGCTCGGTGAAGTAGCCGTTTATGGCTTCCATTGAGTACATATAAGGACATACATGCTGTCTCCACCTCCCTTTCTTCACAGAGGCTAAGAACATGAGTATTTTGATCGAGAATAAACATCTGAACTACATGTTTTATAATAAATATATTCATACGCCTCGAAGAAGAACAGGCTGGAAAATAATCTCCGCAGAGCTTTTGAGTAGGTGGGTTTACAGATATTGCAAAAGGAGTGCTGTGATGTGCCCTAGGAGCTTCTTCTTCCCAGAGTGTTGCCAGGCAGACCTGCTACCTTGAGGCTATAAGAGAACTGGAGAGACACAACCATAAAAACATGTGAACTTACACACACAAAAACACACACGTATAGAGAAACAGACAGTCAGATTCATCTCTGTAGACAGGGGATGAGTCATTCTCTATTCCAGTCCCAACTGTGACCCAGTCGGGTCATGTAAACAAGACAAGGAAACTGAAAACCTAAATATGGGGGCTGCATATGCAGGCAGCAAATACAGTAACTGTAGGAAGAGACAGGCAGCTGAGGTTTCAACTAGTAAGATGAAGTTAAAGGTCTCAACAAAATGCCTTTTGCAAACAAAATCACACAACATGCACACGTGCACAGCTCCTCTGCATTGCAGTCTGTGTGGAATTGGGGGTTGGGTGGGCAAATGTTCCAGGAGCACAACCCCACCTCTCCCAACGATCTGCATCTGTTCAGCTTGTATAGACATGTGCTCAGCTGTGCATTTGTGTGTGACTTGTGCGAGTATGAGTAAGGAACAGTTAGCTTCTTGTGTTCATGTGGGGACATGTGTTGTCCTTCTCTGTCTGTCTGTCTGTCTGTCTGTGAGTGTGTGTGTGTGTGTGTGTGTGTGTGTGTGTGTGTGTGTGTGTGTGTGTGTGTGTGTGTGTGTGTGTGTGTGTGTGTGTGTGTGTGTGTGTGTGTGTGTGTGTGTGTGTGTGTGTTGGTGCAACAGGGGGGACTAATGTGGCATTCTCCTGCTGCTTCCATCGCCTGGTTCGAACCTCAGCTGTCCCAGTGGGCCAAAGCCAGACCATTCGCATAGCTCTGGTGTGTGTCTGCACTCTGTGACCCAGGACTGTGTGTGTTTATAGTTGTGTGTGTGACTGTATTGTCCGTTCCAAGATCCAGCAAAAAAAGGCTTGTGTAAATGAAGGAGTGAAGTCCAGAGGACCCCGCGTTGTAGCGCAGTGGAGCAGTGAGTCACTGTTCTGGTTGAAGCTTCAGTCCAGACAACACGAGTTCCTACTGGTGGATCACGACAGAGCTTGCGGTGACATCAAACAAACCACATAAAACATTTTTTCTTTTATAACATTGAAATATGTGAACAAAAAAAACAGCATATAACCTCTGCCAGCCCTGAGGGAGATCCTCCAAGTTTTCAAGTCACTCTGTCACATCCCTAAATACAGGTTGAGTAAATCGTCTGTCACAGAAGAATGAAGAAAAATGCAAAGTACCAAGTTCAAGTTAGCAGACAGACACTTTGAAGCCTTACAAGCAAAATATACCGTGACATATCTAAAGCAATGTAAAAGTAACAATCATTCAGATTTATGTTGTTGAACTGCAAGGTTAAAGAAGCATTGTATGTTTTTGGTTGCATCATCTAGAAAAAAAGCCTGTGAAGAACTAGTAGAGAAAAAAGTATTAATTCCTTTCACAGGTGTTCTACTTTGGTCCTAGTTAAGCTCCCAATCAAAGCCAAAATACCAAAACGTACAGCCAATATGTGTAGATAAACTAAACTTTAAAATGACATAACCATACATATCCATGCTGGATAATCTACATACTTCCACCTTAGAGACTATTTTTTCTAAGAGGTCCTCCAGGTAGCAAGGAGTGGAGTGCTGCGCTCAAGGGCTGCGAGGACCCCACCTTTACTGACTTTCTAAAGAAGTGTTTGGACTGGGACCCCTCGTCTCGCATCACCCCTAGCCAGGCCCTCAGACACCCTTGGCTGTATCGGCGCCTACCCAAGCCCCTACCTGGGACCGATAAGAGCCCAGGGGATAAGACTAAGTATCTCCAGTGAAGACTGTTCCCAGTAAGGTGTTTGTGCTATTCTCTGTAACTCTGTAACACTGTTTCTGGAAAGACACCATTGAACTGTTCAAACCGAAATTGTCCCAGATTATATTCTATTCATCTATATTTTAATAGGGTGGAGGCAGAAATCCAAACATAGCTCAGGTGAGTTTACTCCCTTAAACAAACTGTGCTTTTGTCGCTCATATGATTTGTCTGCATATGCAGCTGACTGCAAGAACACTATAAAGCTAATTGCATCTAATCACAGGTATCCACATGACAACATCAAGACAGAGATAGACAGAGAGATGTCTACACTTTGAGTCAAACCTGGCAAGATTTGTTAACCTTCGTGGCAATCAAGGAGCCGTCACCCCACTCGTCCCACGCTAACCACCAGAAGTCCTGCTGTGGCTCCTTATGGTCTAAAGGCTTAGGCTCGTTCTCTCTTAAGGAGAGAGGAGAAGGGAAACACCATCTTATGTGTGTGGTTCAGAGAACAGAATTCAGTGTGCCGAAGGAGCTGTAGGGACGTGTGAGCCTTAGACCATATGGTCAGAAGGTGACTGGATTGGTGTCTAATGGGATTGATCTAATCTGCTTTTACATTTATAGAGGAAAGAGGGGAGGTCGAGAAAGACAGGCATTCAGACACATTTAGATTTAGAAAACATCTTACTGTAATGTAGTTTCTTGATTCTGAGAGGAAGTCATAAATATATAATTGAAAAGGATAGCCTTAAGGAAATCAAAACAATATAGGGGAAATATATCAGTTAAAACACGTTTGTTTTGACACAAATTCTAAAGATCTAATATTCCATAGCCTACCGGCCATATCGCTACTATATAAATACATTTAGAACAATATAAAAGGTACATCTACTTTATGTTACAGCTCAAGTTCCATCAAGCTCACCAAAACAGGATTGTCTCTCTCCTCTCAGACATGGTCTGCTTGCTTGCTTGCTGATATTGGTCATTTGAATGAACGCATTAACGTGGGCACAATGACTTTGCTGTTGACGAGAATGAGTGAGCCACGCCCAGGTTGAGGAGAAACAACGTTGTTTCACTGCGAAGCTTCCTTCATACTTTCAAGATCAGCTGGCATTAAAACCCCTGGGTTAAATTCCCCAGCCACCCACTCATCAAACAACACCTCCGTCTCTCTCTCTGTCTCTCTCTCTTTCGTCTTCTTCGGTAGGTGATGTTGCTCAGCCGGTTCCTCCTCCTCCTGCTGCGTGTATACCTGACTTTTTCTTCCCTCTGGGCTCTAGCCTGCGATTGTAAACATCCATGAATCATCAGTGTTACGGGAGATGATCGGTCTACCGTCATAATTACCAGAGAATCTTCCACAATATTTTTCCACTCTCATCCCATCGATCTGTTCTGTCACCCACACAGATAGGACAGAGGGTACACAGGGTGCTGTGAGGGGCAGAAGCAAAGCAGAGGCACATTACGCGGAGGTGTAAAGTACTTTCACACATAGATGCTAAAATAACCTCAGAAAAACAAGATAAATCTAGCTATTACAGTGGCAGGACACTAGACTTATTTGACTGCAAGGAGCCCCTCCAATTTGGTCCCTAAGACGTCCAGATCTTTCGAAACTTTCCTAGAAGTGAGCGCCTGTGATTGCTTACTGACTGGAAGTGACATCATAACACACCCAGCAGTGCGTCACATGTCACAGCAGGGTAGATGCAGCTGCAATTGAACACTACTACTAACTATTGTCGACGCTTGCTCATTAGCTCACTGTAAAGAAACCTGCACCCATCATTTATTTTATCAGTTGCGTCTACCCTGCTGTGACTCCTTAATAAAGAAAATACCATCCGAAACTAATTGGAGTATCATCGCTGTTACATACATTATGTATGTGTGTCAGTAAAAGGCAACTGTGTAGCACTTCTAGAACTGGATGAGTGAGAATCTCCACATGTACGTTGTTCAGCCTAGTGTTAACGACTTTCATGGAAGTGCATAATAACAGGGCAATGTCAGTCTCACACGCTGCCTTGAAGTTGTGTCACAGGCCACTGACTCATCAGTGTCCGCTGAATCTGTAACCTAATCGCAGACTGAAATCTAATTCGCTTGATGGTGATTCACTATACCGACTGAACCAGGGGCCCTCTGGAGACACACTTGTTTCAGAACGGAGTCCGCCCCAGGTGTCAAACAGCAAAAACATCACAGTAACTGCTGGTTTCGAGAGCTTCAGGTGACAGATGAGGAATGGTGATCTGAATCAAAGTTTCTCTTGAGCTATTGTCTTACTACCTCTGCAATATCTCCCTAGAAAACAGCTTTCCTCAGACTTGAATGAAAAATCTGATTTAAAAATAAAATAAAAATCTTCTGAGTGTTCATGGGCAAATCTGTGGACAGTATGTGTAGTATTTTGCAGATCATGACATGCATGTTAAACACCTAAACACTGTTGCTTTGTTTTTTTGGCCTTGCTGTTTTTGATTGACATTCACAGCAGAGAGACGGGCTTCTACCAGGTGAGCTGCTGAGGTGCCCCCCACTTTTGATTTTAAAATATAACCTAAGTTGCTTTTTGTCAAAACATATGTTTCAAAGCAGAAATCAACCCACAGCAGCACATTTCAGTTAATAATCATTTTTATTTTCTTTAGAAAAAGAAACTATCACAACTTCATTTGGTTACTGTACAGTTTCTCTTCTCATAGTCACTCAGTCTGATAACAGGTTTGTGATTTCATGCTGGAACACCAAACACCCTCCTACTAACGCACACCACTAGTACAACATGACAGTATACAACTTCCTCTTTGTCCATTTTTGCATTTTACATCCTCTGATATTCTGGACTGAATAGCAATAGAAACCACTTCTATAAAAAAACAAAACAATGGAGACAGAGTAGAAGAAATCCCTGACAGTTCCACTTAGGAAACGAGGGACGAGAGAAAGAACTCTTTGAGCGGTGTGGTCCATTCAACATGCACCTGATGTATTTCTGTGTGCGTGTCTGTGTGCGCGCGCTTTGGACAGCACCATAATTCGCTATGCACGTGTGAGTTTAAGAGGTTCTCTGCCCTACATGAGACAAGAGTGAGAGAAACGAGAGCGAGAACGAGATGGTGGGGGAGGAGAGAGAATTTAGGTCAGATTGTGTGAGCACCTTCACGGAAAAACACTCATCTATGCATTCTCTTGCTCTCAGTGGACAGGACTGCATGCATTTCATCCATAGTCGGGACTGAGGACTGTAAGTGGAACACACTTCATATAAGATTAAGGGATGTATCAAGTATGTCTCCCTGAGAAACACTTCTTTCTTCAGTACCATAAAAACCCTCGTTTGTCACTGGCCTGTCCTGTCAACTCTTCTACACCTCCCCCTGAAAGAAAAAAAGAAACTTGGCTCATATTAAACATACCGCCCTTCATTTTATCCCATAATCTCTCTCACCCTGCACTATTCTTGCATTAGGATTAACACACCGCTGCCAACAATCACAGCAGCCAATTAGGGGAATGGGCAGGTGACATTTATATAAACTTCAACTTTCCACAGCCAACTTTCCACCCCACAGGTGTGTATGTGCAATGGCTTACAGTTGTAAGCCAGCCTCACGCAAACCAGTGTGAAGTACCGAGTGTGATGGTGACACCTTTGTGACAGTTCTAGTGGAGCTACTGCTGGGAGGAGGGTCCCGTAAAAAGGTTGTCCTATGCCCTCTCAATGTCTACCCGAGTAGGACAATAAAGCACACACACATATTAACGTCACATATTGAGCTGACATGCAAGCACCCGCGATCAGGAAAGGTAGAAAAAGAGAGCAACTAGAAAAGAAAAAGTGAAGACTTATTGCTAAAAACGGTTTTCCTAATTGTTCACTACATAATGCCAAACCCTCTTTACCTGTGTGAAAGACATTTTTCTGTGTGTGTGTGTGTATATATATATATATATATATATGAGGGATTTCTGTGTCAGTGTACGCAGGGCCCAAACACTACAGCATGATTCTATTTTTCTTTTTTATATTCATTGATGTTGACTGAACAATTCTTTGCTTGCTAACTGTAACCTGATAACGGTAATCTCTGTAGCCCTTTTCAAGTTTCACTCATACAAACACTTCCCAAGAAAGAGCGGCATCCTCTGAGTGTTAAGAAAGAAGTGTGAAGTGAGGCAAGTGACAGTGCAGGTGTGCTTGAGAGTGTTTTACTAAAACACAACACTCGGGTTAAAAACATTTGCTCATTAACCAAGCTGTCCAGTCACACGAGGAAGTTTTTAAAAAGCATTATCTAAATCAAACCGTATCAATGGCTGTAAGAAACTCCACAGCCACTCAAGGAAATAGTCTGTATAAAAACTGTTTTAGTGTTTCTTTTGTCTCTCTCTGTTCAGCTAATATTAAAAACCAGGAACTGGGGTGTCGACACCTCTCAGTAGAAAACAAATAAAACAACAACCAAACGAGTTGTAAAACCTAAGCTCCACTTTCTCCTGTACTCTGACTCCTCCTGAGGAGTGCAGAGGAGGAAGAAGTGGAGGGAGAGAGGAGATTACAGGACTCTCTCTCTCTCTCTATCTAAGAGACGAGTTTGGGTAGGACCGTGCGAAGAGGTATGGCGTCCCCAGAATCTCCCATCATGTTGCTCCTCAGTTTGTTGTTGGCAGCTGTGGTGCCTAAGATTGGCCCCCCTTTGACCAGGATAGAGGGGAAGGAGGTGCTATGGTGCTCGGGGAGCCGTTTCACCGTGGCCCCTGGGCTCTTATCGGTCCCAGGTAGGGGCTTGGGTAGGCGCCGATACAGCCAAGGGTGTCTGAGGGCCTGGCTAGGGGTGATGCGAGACGAGGGGTCCCAGTCCAAACACTTCTTTAGAAAGTCAGTAAAGGTGGGGTCCTCGCAGCCCTTGAGCGCAGCACTCCACTCCTTGCTACCTGGAGGACCTCTCATCTTTCCACGGCGAGAGCGAGACCCCGTTAGCACAGTGGCCCCAGTGGGCAAGGTGTTGGCTCCGCAGTAACGAGGGTGGCCCTTGGAGTTGATGAAGTTCTTTGCCCGTTTGGACTGCTCCAGGATCTTCTGCGGAGGCATGCCCAGCAGCTCCATGACACAAGCCAGCTGGTCGCCCTCGTCCTCGCCGGGGAACAGGGGGTAGCCGGTAAGCAGCTCGGCCAGTATGCAGCCGAAGCTCCACATATCGATAGGAAGGCCGTAACGTGAACCGAGGATCACCTCTGGAGCTCGATAGAAACGAGACTGGATGTAGGTGTACACCCGCTGGTGGTCAAAACAACTGGAGCCAAAGTCAATCACCTGGCAGAGACAGAAAAGGAAAGAATTGTATGAGTGAACATCAAATGTACAAACCTGTTATAGGGCTTTCACATGTATGAATGTGCCAGGTGTCCTACCTTGATGCCACTGCGTCCCTGCTGTTTGAGCAGGATGTTCTCTGGCTTAAGGTCACAGTGGATGATTCTGTGCCTGCTCAGGGCCTCCAGGCACTGCAGGATGGAGTGTGCAAACTTTCTGACCAGCGGCAGGCTAAAGCCCTGGAACTTGTTGCGCTTGATCAGTTCATACAAGTTCATGCTCAACAGCTCAAAGGTCATGCAGATATGGTTGCGGAAGGTGAAGTTTTCAAGCATGTGCACAACGTTCATGGTGCCGTTACGATCCTGCTTGCGCAGATGCTCCAGGATGCGGATCTCCTCCTGCGCCTGCCGGTGGAAACGCTTCTCATTGCGCACCATTTTCAGAGCCAGGTGCTGCTGCAGTTTGTGGTCGTATACCTTAGCCACTTGGCCAAAGCTACCTTTCCCAATAATCTGAAGAGGGAAATAAAAACTGGGTTAGCTAAAAATTTTACATTATATTTGTTTTACAGACACAACTGTAATTGTGTTCCTAAAACACTTCACAATATGCGTGTCTGACCTTGAGGAACTCGTAGCGGTAAGCCAGATGGTCATGGGGGACATTAATGTATCCTCCCTGCTCATCATCGTAGCCACAGTTGTTGTTGCCTCCAGCTATAGCAAGTCTCTTCTTGGCGTTGGGTCCCACGAAGTAGATGTCTGGATAGGAGTGGATCTCGGTCTGCTCCAGGGTGGTCAGTTGAGATCGGTACAGTCTCATAGCCTGGGTAGGAGTGAGAGGGCCACACAGCTTCCCACTATTCCCTCCACTCCCAACTCCACCCTGTGGGCCAGAGGAGTCACTGGAGCCCTTGCTGGATTCACTGCTGTGGCAAACAAGCGCAACAGAAGCATGGTGATGAACAACTGAAGTGGTGTTCCTCTCACTTATAAATTTGTGAAAATGTCCGGCCACGTGATGTTTATTAAAGTTCTTTTGGCGTCTTCGTGTGTGTGTGTGTGTGTGTGTGTGTGTGTGTGTGTGTGTGTGTGTGTGTGTGTGTGTGTGTCTTTCTCACCTGTCTACACTGTGCTCCTTGGACAAGCTAGAGACCGGGGCAGGTTTACTGGGCGTCTGACCAGTGGTCCCACTGTTCTGGGTGGTTGCTGTGGTTATCGCATTGATCTTTCGGTTGTTGGTGGAGTCTTCATACAGGTACTTGACCTTTAGCTGGCCACCTCGCACAGTTACCTGATCCCTCATTACAGCCTTGTTACTGACAACCTATTAAGGGGGGGGGGGGGGCGCGAGAGCGAGACCATGGACAAAAAGAAAGCCATTAGAAAATCCATTTGGTAAACACTCCACTGGAGCGTATTCAGCCGATGAACAGGGTGCAGAAGACGTGGTTTAGTGTGTTATATGAATGTATTCAATAGAGTGAAGAGAGGACCTCTATGATTTTGGAGAGTGTAGTATCTACGGATTGGTGACACAATAAGTGCTACTTGTAGCTTTCAACACCTTAACCTAGAGGCAACTGACAGTCATGCACAAAATACTTCTTTGTATTGCTAGATTCATGTTTGTTTTTTTTATTACTTTAATTTGTATTGCATTTTTGGCTCTGGACAGAACATCACAAGCATCCACACACAAACACACACACACCATTGAACAAACTCAACAAGAACAGCTGTTAGAGGCAGTTCAGACATTTATGCAGTCTTAATGTGAGTTATTCGATAGCTTAACAGTTCAGTTACTTGTTGGCATCATGTAAATAATCCATTTTTCCAAGTTCTTGTCGGAGATATCGCCTTTAGTTTTTAGTTGGTATGTCAGCTTTTCCACTGTATGGATATCCAGACATTCTCAAATCCATACCAGTATCTCGTTATACCTTTTATCCATGGCTATAAGCAGAATTTTTGCAAGCAAAGAGGGACGACAGAAAAGCTGAAAAACAGATAATGGCATACATATGTACATATCACCACCTCATATTAACATGGAGAGAGCGATTCCCTGTGAACTCATGATTCATGCCACAAACATAAGTGGAATGTGCATCTAGTTAGCAATCTAGCTCAGCTTTTGTATGATGCAGCACATAAATGGCGAATTTCAGTCACAGGGCAGCAGATATGCAGCAACCAAGTAGGTGAACTAGCAAAACTGGATCGAGATCCAGTCTGGTAGGAAATGTAGAAACAGGTGAAAGGTAGAAGCCATCTTTGGCAAAACAAATAATATTTTAATTTGTATAGCCCAGCTTTTAACTTCTTGAAAAGATTTTAATATTTTGATTGGGGTTCAATATGACTGCTAACTGGCTGGCCTCAGCTCATGGCGATTAGCATAAACAACAACAACAACAACAACAGATATTGCATCGGTGTCTGGACTAAACAATAGCTCTCCATTTTGTAATCCATTTAGAACGTCTGTGCCCACAAACAACCTGAAAGGTTAGATGAGTTTCAGGAACGCTTTAGTCCTGCTCTCAGCCTGCCAGTAGACTCAAGACTCGTTTCGGCAACCCCAGGAATTCATTCCTCCTCATTCCCCGTCTCTCCCTCTCTTCTCTCTCTCTTACCAGCGGAAAGAACCTTCCACAAGATTATGGAGCACAAGGGAAATGACAGTCATTATAGTTACATTATACTCTTAAACTATAGAAGCAGTGTGGCTGTTAATAAGACACGCTGACATAAACTCAGCGTAGCCTTCCTATATGGAGACACACGGGAGAGGCGTATTTACTGGGTCTGTCTAGCTGTCTCTCTTTCACATGAACACTCCTTATTTTAATAGCAGTGTGGTTTCACCCATCTGAGCGGGGAGTGGGGTGATTAGACTGCTACGCTGCCCTGTGGAACTTCTGGTCTATGGATGAAACTGCATCAGCTGATAAAGACAACACAACAAGGAAATGCACATTAAAAAGAAGGCGTTGGCATGTGACGCTGAAAGTGGATGCAGCTCGGAGTGCGTTTATGTTGTAAGTTTGAGTCCTAAAATAAAGGAGGAATACATGTAACCATGTAGTCTTAACTTATTAAAAACGACTGCTGACCCACGGTCCCATGCAGCTGTTGTCCCAAAGCGGTTCTACAAACACAGAGAATGTCACTTATCGAGCCTATTCAACCACACACAAAAATCAAAGCTTTCTACATGTAGAGCACCAACTGTGATGGACTATTGGTTGACCTTGCAGGGGGGGGCAATTAGAAAAAAAAAACATATATATATAAACTTTCAAAAAGTGACCAATGGTGGAAATGAAAACCAGAACATGCAATTCTTCTTTATCAGCAGGTAATACTGAAGGTGGGGAGTCCTCTGTGTGTAAATCTGCATGCTTCAGCAGATGGAGAAGAGCTAATCTCTTTGCTGTCAGAGACACTTGTGTGCTTTTCTCCTTCACTCAGAGTTGCACAACTCAACACATACAGACCTTTGACACACACACACACACACACACACACACACACACACACCCGGAACTGTTACTGCAAAATTCAGTTTATTTGTTTGACCTTTCCTTTAATAAAGAACTAGGATGACATCAGTTTATTACTTTAATAGCGCATGAGACAACTCTGAGTACAGTACAACGCACTGAATTGGGGCAAGCTACTGTCAGTCACATTCAACAGAGGATTTTACCTCTGTGAGAGTGACAGAAAATACAAAGGAAAAGGGACAGGGCTGGAATAGAAAATGAGGCCTGACCTCAGTGTTAGCCCACTGATGGCGGATTACACGAGGCCGAGGAGGAAGAGGGGGAATGTTGATTGGTGATTTTGTTTGTGGGTCACATTTTCAAGTCCAATAAATCTTTACAATATATGAAACTAGCCTTTTTCCCCCCCTTCTGCTGGTGTGGGGGTCTGTGGAGTGTCATCTGTGTTTGTGCATTTTCTGCCAAAGGGGCTTTTCAGAGAGGCAAACATAGGGGACAGATACCCCTTTAGGTCCTGCAACATGTTAAAACAGATGCATCACAACTTGTTACCAGATCTAAGAGTGAAGAAACCAAAAAATAAGCAGCAACTTATACTGATATATGGGTCAGTCTACTGAACCCTATGAACGGCATCTTATCACTGGGAGTTACTGGTTTCCCCATAAATACACATGACTACACACAGATCAAACGTGTTTTGGTTCTTCTGTCAAGTCTTTTTTGTCCGAGCAGATGAGGACAGTCAAGTTTAAAACAGAGACCATACAGTATGTCAATATACTGTACAATGGTAATTTTGCATCCTGTGAAATGCGCTGTTTTGCACATTCAAACTACAAAAGTTCACACGGCTAATAATTGCTGTTGGATCTCTCTATTTACTTTGGACAGAGACACAAAATGGCTACTTCACATCAGCTAATCATGAGAACTGCCCGCTGCAACACACTCATGTCCCCTCAGGCAGTCAATCAATATTACTCACATGATCACATGCTATTCTCATTGAAGGGAAGAAAAACTGAATTACACAGGTTGGACATAAGAGGTAAGACGAGAGATAACCCCTCCCGCCCGCCAAACAAGACTGAGAAAAGGAGCGAACGAGAACAGGGCTGAGTGGGGAATATCTCTCTGAGGAACAGGATGTCTGGAGACAGAGCGTGCTTCAGCACAGGAAACACGGCTTTACTGGCTTTGTGCATGTGAGTGTTTGTGTGTGTACTTACTGTGTGTTTAGGCATAGGGGGCAACCCGGACGGACTGTTTGTATCAGCGTCGTCTTTAAGGATATGGTCTGTCCTCATGTATGAGTCATACAGACCATCGCCATGCCGTGCTGAAGGAACAAAGATGAACACATGATCAGTGCGATAATGTAGAACCATCAAATCTGTGACACAGACAGTTGGGGATGAAGGCTGGCAATGACGTTCAGAGGAAACGCCTACAGGATACAATCTAATCTCCACAGAGGCAGACCATCCCTTGTTTGTTCAAACTAGGCAAAGTCTAATTGATTATTTACAGTTCTGATGTCTACCTTAAGACTAAAACAAATGGTTTGGCATGACCCAACAAACCCCTTGAGCTAACCTCAGGACAGCCCCACAGCACTGCTCTCTGTAGACCAGTGGGGATGCACATTGTCTGCCACAACATCCTAGCCCACATTAACAGTGAAAAGGCCATTATTAATAGATACAATGGATGTATCTGCTGTGTCCAATACATTGTACCCAAGGCCAGAGCTCCAACCTGACCAGCTTAGATAGGGCTTAGAGTCCCAGATCGCTAGCGCTGCAGGTGGTATTATTGGCCTAATATGGGTAACAGATGCCACTGTGACGACAGCATCTTTCCATCTGCCCATCTGTCCATTCAGGCCGAGTCATGTAGCGCACACACACACCAGGTGTGCTCAGAAATAGAGCTCATATGGAAGGATGCGGGACACTTTGTCATTCAATAGTGTTGTGTGTGGGTGCTCACCTCTGTGGCATCAAGCCAAACACCTCATGTGAGATGAGACAGAGTAGATGGATGAGGGATGCATTTGGGACTGGTAGGTGGAAGCCAGTTACTCAAATGACAAAACTCCATCAGCCGGCTGTTCGTCGTGTCGTTTATCTTACCCACAAGTTGCTACTTTAATAGAAGAAAGCTCTTAGTATTTATCTCAGATAGCTTGAAATAAGGCAGAGTAGCCTGTTAGCATAAGCCATTTATATAGAGCTATTGTGTTGGGTTAGCTCATTAGCAAAAGGCCAAAACAGTGGAAGGTATGGTGTTCTCTCTCTGATTAGCCCTAGAAGTGTGTGGTAACCATGTGCAGGTGCGTCAGAGCCCATGTCCCTACAGACCAGCTCCGGGACAGATTAGATTAGACCTGCTGCCCGGATACTGATGCATTAGACCTGCACAGCACAGCAAACAGAGGCATTAGGGCTCCACACACACAATATTAGCAAGCACAGACCCCATTAGGCCTCTGCAAACTCCTAATCACTCAATGGGGGCTCAGCACATTCTGTACAGCATCTGACTCTGTTGTCCAAGCAAACTTTGAGGGTGGCTTGGGGTAGAAGGGGATTAAACAGATCCCAAACTTTAAACATCCAGTCTACTACATCCAGATCTCCACACTGTGACAAACCCCATTCTCCTTTGAACAGCAAAGGGGTAGAGGACAAGGTTCAAGCAAACAGACATAACTACAATAGATCATGCGTCCTAAAACGTGCAAGAGGGGGTAAAGTCACAGCGTTTTTCCCTCCTCTTCCTGGTATCCTGGACAAAGTGTCTTCTTACAGTGTCACCAAATGTACACTTTCTAGCATACACGCACGTTTAAAAAATGCCTGAACCCCAAACACACATACAGGCAAACACAGATGACGTCAGTACAAAACACAAGTAACGTAAAACAACAGCAAAGATGACAGCCACGGTACAAATTCCAAAACAGCTGTTTAAAACAAGTAGCATAAACAGATATGAAGCCTTATCAAACTTCGATAAGACTGGATATGCTTACGAGGAAGATGATAAAAACTGCTCGGAGCTTCCTGGACCCTCTTCTAACACATTCACAGACAAGAGTCTCGTGATTGATATGGAGTTGCGAAGCAAACGAAAACATGTTTACACCCCGCATCTTGTGAAACTGTGACTCGAGCTGCATCTGTCCGTTATGTCCACGAGACGTGACATTTACACCGGGAGCCAAGAAGATTTGTCAATCAAAGCCATTTTAAGCGCAAGGTATTTCTGTAAAGAGCTGCTTGAGGGTGAACCTAATGCCACGGGCTGCCGTGCTGGCAGTGTTTCCACTTTAACGCTGAATCTGCAGGGGAAAACATTTAGCAGAGTTACAGGTTACTGACAGAGAGTGCAACACTGTGTTGTGGTTACCTGTTGCTATTGGGCCCTCTGGTTTTCTGCTTATGATCATCATGATTGCAATTAAAGTGTGATGCCAGCATCCGAAGTGGGGAAAACAAATCCCGAATAAAAAAGTGGAAAACAATGATTCAAACTAGAGTCACGCAGCATTTATTACTTTGCCGTCTGCTAAAAAAAATAAGTCCCCTTGAGTTGTGGTTTCGGGTTTAACTAACTCGGGTTATTTTCTAGCTTTCTTCTGGGCTTTGCCTGTAATTTATCCTTGTTTTATTAAAACCACAGAGATGTGTATTCTGCTCTCGCCCTGGCTAACTTTAGCCTCCCTGGCTGCAGTTTGAAAACCCTGAGCAGGCGGTGGGGGTCGTCTCCCCTCAGTTATCTAGCCAGCTAGCTGGTACAGCCACAAAAACACTCGTTCGCCCGAGAGCCGCTCCCTCTAATAAAATAGTTTGAGTCCAAATGTTACAGCTTGGTGGTCTGACCCGTGTGCCCCTCGCCTTTCTCTGCCGGTACAGTGAGTCGATCCAGAGCACCATTCCCGTGCTTATTCCCGGTTAGCAAACAGCGATGCTAGCACTCGTTGAATCCCCGGGATCGTGTCCTCCTTCGGGACAGCTTGGGGCTGCTGCTCGTCTTCAGGGACGGCTAGCCTACATAGGCTAGCTGTACTCAAGACCCATGTTGACTGCAGAAACCACCAGGGGCATCGCCTTTGCAGAAAAGCTTCACCTGGACTCAGGGCAATAAAGCGGCGGTGTTTAATCCGTCTTCTCCGCGGCAGGAGTATCTTATTCGCCGCAGCTGTGTGTGTTGTTGCTAGGGCGTCTTCACTGAGCCTGGAGTCGGCAAGGCGAGCGGAGGGAGGGAGCAGGGCGGGGCGTAGCGAGCATCCACACAACAGGCAGGAGGGCGGGGCGTAGCGAGCATCCACACAACAGGCAGGAGGGCGGGGCGTAGCGAGCATCCACACAACAGGCAGGAGGGCGGGGCGTAGCGAGCATCCAGACAACAGACAGAAGGGCGACCTGCAGCGCCCAACTGCAGCTCTGCATGGGAGCTGGTGTCAATGTCCTCAACAATATACTGTAAATGTGCTCTATTATAAAACTGCATGTCCTACACACCGTGAATTAAACACCAGCGCTGTGAAAAGTCTTTTCTGTCTGTTGAGTCATTAAGGTCAGGTTATTAATAGTTATTGATAAAGGGTATTACACGTCATGTCTGTGGTTAGTAATGTTATAAAATCATTAATAAAGGGTGATTAGCATCAGGTCTGCAGTTATACATGTTGACAAGTCATCAGTAGAGAGTAGGCTAATAAAAACAATCAAAGTCTGTAGCTGTAAATGTTCATAAATTCATTTTCACTGCATCACTTTTCCAAAGACTCAGAGGTCACATTATGCATTGGATGAGTCTTACTGATGAAATACAAAGCAAAACAAAGACAAATTCAGACTGAATAGTTGTTCTTATTAATGGCTTATACGTGAAGCATCAGTAAATTATGTATTAAACCTTAATAGGGGCATTTGTTCCAACTTACAAACCCTCTATAAAGTGGTACCCATTCTCACACACACACACACACACACACACACACACACACACACACACACACACACACACACACATATACACTGATGACAGACAGTGCCACGCCAACCTGCTCTTCAGGAGCAGTAAGGGGTTCATTGTCTCACTCAAGAAGGCTTCGACATTCTCTCTGGAGGAGCTGGGGACATAACCAGGAACGCCTAGATTACTATAAGACTATTACTTTTATTATTTTCTTGGTTTTTGGACCATTGGACAAAACATATAATGAAACTAATCACTAGTTGCAGCTCAAGGGCTAAGATGACTTATCCTCAGGGCCCACACAGGAAAGCTGAACGGTGGACTGAAACTGGAGAGGGTTTGAGATCTGTACAGGGCTAGATATAATTAGGAGCAGGGCAGAGGACAGACAGAGTGAGAGGGGAACAGGCTAAATTCAGACAGTGATACATGCTGGGCAGAGGGTGATGCTAATATTAGCTCTTTCTCAGAGGTGAGAAGAAGGGTCTGTCTATATTTGCTGCCATAAATAAGCATACTAACACAGTTTCAGGCAGCCCTCTGGGCAGCAGCCAGCCCCTAAGGCCAGCGTGGCCATGCTGATTATTCTTAGATGGTGGTGTATAGAGAGAGTAGGGTGACAATGCCTAAAAATTGATCTGCTTATTGCACTTTCCTCTCAAAAGGGTTCAAGGTGTAAGTGTGTGGACCAAGCTGTGCTCTAATCACAGCTAGTGAATTTAAAACCACAGCAAGAGGTGGTACCAGGTGCAAAGCTAGGTCCTTGTGGGGGCTGGGGGTCCTGGCTGTATTTGGTCTCAGAGCCTGTGACAGACACTGACACCTGTGGGTTTATTGGTCTAACACCTTCTTTTGAATGCCCTTTGAAAACAGAATTCGCTTAAAATCAACCACATCATGCAAAGTATTGTGTAAAGCTGTGAGTCCCCGCTGTTGTGATATGCGTCAAGCATATCACAACATATGAAAACAAAAATCACACAGACACATACACACACACAGCCTTGTGTCACTACCTTCATGGGAAGCCGTCATTTCTAGGGGAATGCATTATGTCGGGGCCCCCCGACATAATGCATTCCCTTACCCCTTTACCCTAACCTGAACCCCAAAACTATGCCTTGACCCTCAAAAAGTCCTTAAAATTTGTGGGGTCCAGCATTTTGGTTCCCATAAAGCTGACGGACCACACAAGTATAGTGGAATCCTGGTTTTTGGACCCCATGAATACAGTAAAACAAAAACACACAGCTTCCAGTCTGCATGTTTAGATCGTTCTTGCAGTTTCGATGAGGTATTGCCACCTGCTGTTGATTTGACAGCAATACAAGCTGGCATCTGGTGATGAAATCATGAGAGGTAAAGTTTACTTGGGGCATGTCTGTCTGGACAACACAGTCTTCAACACTAAATGGTTCACATCTGTATCTCTTAAAAGATATGATTAAATACCACAAAATTCGACAAGCACTAAAATTGAGCACAAGCACATTACTGATTCCTTTGGAGCAATTCTCTCTTCACTGGTTTGTTGGAATTCAGTGCCTAGCTCAAAGAAACTTTTGTTGAGTGGACCAACATGGAGAAAGAAAACTAGTGTTGGTTTGTTTCTTTTTTTGTAACCCATGTCAGTCAAGGTAACTGAGTAGCATCTCTTCAGGATTTCTTCTAGGAACCCCTTGTGGTTTTTAACCTCCTGAGAAAGACGGTTTCTGTGTGAGAAAATATTTCACGTGACGTGATAAAGGCCTACATGAAGTGATTTTCTGCTCAAGTTAGTGTTGAAGATGCATAACAGGGAACCATTTTGGGTCTCATGACGTGGGGACACAGTAAAGTATGAGACAACATAAAATGTAGAAGAGGTACACTGTGGCCTCCAGTGAAACCATGTCAAAACCAGAGACACTAGGATATGAGAACATTTCAATAAAGGGATGACCTTTTTATTTCATTTTGATAATCTGTACAGTTCTACCGCTATATTTATACACACTTCTTCAAATAAAACAAAACCAACTGCGAACAAAAAAGCATTAAGTCTCAACATCCTTGACACAATATCATTACAAGGAGGTAAATCATGAAATAAATAACACACACCCACCCACACACACACACACACACACACACACACACACACAGAGGGGTTGTTGGAAAGACAAATGTGTTCAGGCAAAGAAAGAAAAAATGACATATAGAACACCACCCAAGAAATACAGATTTGCACACATGCAAAAGCACCCATACATACACCCAGGCACCTGTAAGCTAAAAACACACCTTACATACATACACAGGGGCACATGAAACAAAAGGCACTGCCAGCAGGAACAGTTTGGGCTTTGGGTAGTGGTTCTATCATAAAAGAAACCAGTTTGGGTTTACTGTTAAGCATGTGCTTATGGACAACAGGCCTCATTTATCAGTACCTCTATTGTATAAAATAAAAGATGAAAAATAAGGGTGTGTGGAAAAGGTCTACAGTAAATGCTTTGGTTAGGTGTATTCATTTTTTAATACATGCACACCAAACATTTCTTCTAAATCGACCTAATTTGCAGTTGTAATGTATTATTTTACATCAATAAGTGTCTTGATAAGTGAGGCCCAATGAGGGAGCACTGATGACACACAGACACTCATTGTAAAACACAATTCACATTATCTTCACTGCCCCGGATGATCTCACACACACACACACACACACACACACACACACACACACACACACACACACACACACACACACACACACACACGCACACACACAGTAGGAATGATACCAAAAGAATAATATTTATCATAATAACAACAAAGTTAAACCTTGTCACTCTTTTTCCAGTGTCTACATAATACATATGCATTGCAAACACATCATTGGTACATCATAGCCATTATTATGAATTTTCTATACGTTTTGTTTCTTCTTCTTTTTTTTGGGTGGAAGGTGGGGAGATAAACGAAAAGAGAAGCAGAAATGCATGCCCAGCCCCAAAGCTGTGGGCCATTCTCAGTGACCTGCATCCACATGTGCAAAAACAGAAGCTGGTTTAATTTACATACTCCACCTTTAATTAGATAAACTCTTTCATTCTTTTAAAATCATCTCAATAGATCTGTTCCCCTAAGCTTTGGTGTGAAAATCCACTCCACATTCAAATGCAACCCACGTACAATGACAGCGCAAAGTCACTTCTACAATAAAGTGTAAAATCTGTAAAGGTATGTGGAGTGCCTCGCTCAGTAGGCTTCATCTGCAGGTAGATGTTCATGCAAGGTGGGTTAGATCAGGATTAAGGGAGGGAAAATGAACTCACAGTATCACCTGATAAGGTTATTTTTGTGTGTGGGGAGAGGACTGGTAACATCTTCTCACATGGCGTTAAAGTAGGTAAATGGAATCACAGGGAGCAACTGGGCTAAAACGGGGGCGGTGTTTGGTTTCTTCCCGCCTTTAGGTTTTCTTGTTGCTCAACACATTCTCCCTGAGAAAAATCATCTTATCTTCCCATTCTGTGTTGTTCTAGCATCCACAGCAAAAACGCAGCCCTCTGCCTCCAGCCCTGACCCTAAACACCTCCCTCACAAATCCACACATCTTAATATTCCAGCACAAAAATAACACCCCAAGCTTCCAAGAAGAGGATAAGAAAAAGAACACTCTGTATGATTGTCCTTCCACCCCAAAAGAGATACTGAAAACCATGCCTTCTGTTTAAATTCTAACTCTATGTGCAGGGGGGGGCAGTGAGCTGACAGAGACTCATGCATAAGTAACACTTGCAGTAGCAGCAGCAGCAGCAGAAGAAGAGGGAATCTTTAAAAACATCACTGGTTAATATCAGTCTCAAATGAGATTTCAAGTCAGCGTTTCAGAGCTCGCTGTGTGTGTCCTTGGCAACGAAAATACACTACTTGTCCAATGAGCAAGCAGACCACACACCCAGTAGCCTTTCTCTCTCCTCAGGGAGTGGATGTATGGATGATTGGGGGGTTGGGGGCTTGTATGCGTCCTGAGAAAGGGTATGCGTCTGTGTGCGGATGTACTGCATGTTTGGGTGTATATGCGGTGGGTGGAGACAAGTCCAGCTCTGGCTCCAGTCTCTGAATAGATCAGGGGTCTTGAGGGGTCGGCGTGTGAAGGTTCAGTCTCCCCCTGGGTTGACGTCATAAGGTAACAGGTGAGCGGGGTCAGGGGTCATGTTGTTTTAGGGCCCGTTCTAGTTTCTGTCTGTATGCAGCGTATTTTTGCTTCACTGCCCGCAACCGCTCTGACTCCTCTTTCTCCAGGATTACCAGGAAGTTTTGCAGCTCAGGGACAGAGAATGCATGCCACTGTCAGAGAAAAGGGGAAAACGATTATTAGAGTTTTCTGCTAGCCTTCTTTAAATGTTTAGCATAAAGGATAACTGCCTCAGCTGCCTTTATAAATACCATGCCATTAAATCCTATAAATTAACTGTGAGAAAAAAAAGTCAGATACCTAAAAATCTGCCTGTACACCACAAGTGTGTGCGTATATTGTTGTGCTTTCTCACCTGCACCTCTTCAGTCTCATTTTCCTTAAGGACAAAGCTGAGCTGCTCTGGGTCAGGCCCTGCTAATAACCTCAGAAGAAGAGGACGCTCACACAGAGGAAGCTTCTGGAAAAGATCTGGAGGGGATAAAGAGCACCAAGAAAAACATAAAATTCAGTATATTGCATATGTTTCCTACAAATGAGCTAGTAACTGGGTGTCTTTTCCTCACCCTGTCCGTCACGGTGCGTCTGCTTGTACAGTGCAAACTTGCGGGGATTGTCCAACACCATGAACTTCTTCAGCAAGCCCTGGATGACCTCTCCAGTGGTGGTCAGAGAGCTGATGTGGAGCTGCTTCACACAGTCGCATGGTAGGTAGAAGGATGTTCTATTTTCACTCTGCCCATAGTCCGTCCCTTCCTGGCCCTCTGACGTTGCTTGATTGTGGCTAGCCGTCTGCCTGGATGCTCCGTCTGAGCCCGCCGCCTCCAAAGAGGGGACTGTGACTGGTCGACTGAGCCTCAGGTGGACTTTAATGAAGCCTGTGTAGGATCCATCTGAAGCCTACAGCACACAGAGAGTTAAAAGGGTGACAGTTAGGGAGGAGAGGCACATTTCAGTGTTGATATGTGCGCCGTAGCAGGACTGGAAAGAAACACTGTAGAGAAATAGTTCAACATTTTGGTCCAGCGTTAGATGAGAAGGTTGATACCACTCTCATGCCTGTTCAGTAAAAATTAAGCTACTGCAATTAACCGATTAGCTAGCTTAGCATAAAGACTGAAGGAAGAGGTAAAAGCTAGCCTTGCTTTGTCCAAAGGTCCAAAATTTATTGGCAGCCAAGAAACAGTTTGGCACATAACCCCTAATATCTCCTTTTTAGACTTTGGTATTTGTGTGGATTAAACCAACAATATGGTTATTCATCTTTAGAGGTCCTGATAGGAGGATTTTGTTACCTTTTTGACAGAGCCAGGCTAGCTGTTTCCCCCTGTTCCCAGTCTTTGTGCTAAGCTATGCTAACCTGCTGCTGCTGGCTGTAGCTTTATATTTACTGCATAGATATGAGAGTGGTATCGACCTTTTTATCTAACCCTTGGCAAGAAAGTGAATCAATGTATTTCCTCACAGACTACTTTTGTTCCCACTTTGTATATCGCTACATTATGTCTCATAGCTCAATTCCCTGTCTGTCAACATCAAATTATGAATGCGAGGACGCACTAAAATCTAATTTCATTGTTAGTTTGACATGATACATTACAGTACATTCACCAGCTTCATGAAGTGTGTAAAACTCACCAGTTTCATGCCATTTTCAGAGACTTGAGAGTTATACTTTTCTATCCTTGTCTGCACCTCTTCCTCTGACAGGTCCTTTGTTCCCCCCTCCTCTTCCTCCTTTGCTTCATTCTGCTGTAAGGCAGAGAGAGAAGGGGTGTCAGTATTAAAACATCAGAGTACTGGTAGTTTCAGTGTTTGATTTGCACCAGCAGATGGTGTTGTTTCCATAAAATGCTCAAGTTTGCTAATAGATACCTGAATACATCAGAATTAAGAGACACCAAACCTTTAAAAAAACTGACTTGAAGGCATACCAGGTGTAACATTTAAACCAGGTTGAAAACGAGACTAAACAGGATCCTGGCCGACTCATGCGCTCTGTGGACTCTCTTGAAAATAACTACTTGCGACCCCACCTCCCTCTCCTATCCTCCATCTTTGTCAACCTCAGGCTGCTTCTCTGACTGTGGTTGATGGAGATTCTTCTAGACAGTATACTGTACTATCCCTTCCTCCTCAGCATGGACACACAACTCGGCAGCGTTACATGGGTGACAGGAAATGTGAATGGAGGAATTCACACAATTAGCATCTCAGTGTGAGAGTACTGACAGCGTTGACTCCCTCTGAATATTACTCATTTCCCTCTGTGACAAGGAATGTGTGTGTGAGAGAGATGGAGAGGGAAAAGAGGGAAGAAGCAATGAAAGGAGGAAGAGAGGGAGGCAAAGAGGGGGAGGCAAGGAAAGAGGCAAGTAAGGGGTAAGTAATGATGAAAGAGCGGCTGCTGAGCCAGCCTTAGCAACACAGAGTTTGACTGGGTTATTTTTAGTACAGTGGGATGTATCCTCTCTATCTCACAATAGCATTTTTTTCTCCTTCTCCTGTTCGTTTGCATTTTCTGGGGCAGATAGAGAGAGCGCGTGTGTGAGAGAGAGCGAGAAAGAGAGAGAGAGAATGCAGGGCAGTAATACTTTCTGTAGGGAAGTCCTCTGGTTGTGTGATGAAGTCCCTGTTTCATTCAAGACAGATGTGGGTGTCTCTGCGTGTGCACACATATAGAGTGAGGCGCCTTGTGGTGATAAACAACACACACACACACACACACACAGTTCTGTCCTGACATCTATCTGCGAATGTCAGCCTTAAAATTTAAATGTTGTAATATTATCATCTCTTTTTGCTGAATGTCAGCCAGGATGAGCTAAGCAATACTGTATGTGTGTGTGTGTGTGTGTGTGTGTGCGTGAATAGGAACAGTGAGAACAGGGGGGGTCTATGATTTTGCCCCCCACATAGCTCATTCACTTTGTTGCTGCCTTTATTTCAGCCAATTATGGCCCTACTGTCATGATAAACATTAAGTGTGCACAGCAAAATCCAAGGTTAAGAAAGGAATCTGAGGCATACGGAGGAGTTGACTTGTATCTAAAATTCCTCCAAGTCTAAAGGCAACAAAGTGAAAAGAACCTCACAGGAATTCCTGCGTTTGTGTGCGAGTTTCTAAATGTATCAGAGGCAGTGCCCTGCCCTCCTTTTCTGCATACCAGTGAGAGTGGTCAAGGGACAATGGAGCGGGACAATAGAGCAGTTTCCGCCCCTGAGAGTTCCACAAAGTCCTGGGACACTGCCCTGATTGGACCAGGTCACGAGGGAGCCAAAGCCCGACAAGACACAGAAGCAGAGAGATGTCAACCTGGACAAGTTCTGCTCTGCCTGCACTGGGGTTGCAGGAAAAAGATGACATGGAAATAATTTACATTCCCAACGTGCATCGTGCAACGGGGTTCCAGAGCTCAGTTTAAGATGGTTAATGTAAAATGAGTGATACTAAATGATGCAAGGTAATACAACATTCATAAACATGAGAAGCATAATGGACTCTGTGTGCGTGGGGTGTTTTTTCACAATTTTCCCCTCCATCAAGTTCACCTCTTGTGGAAACATAGCAAGTTATCTGATCGTGATCTGATTTTTTGATTTAATGTCTAAACTGGTCCACTCTCACCAAGCTATCAGGTTTAGCTGCATTTTGTGCTTTTATAGGTTGTTATTTTGACTCTACAAACACACTGCTAGGCGTGGCGCCTCTGGGTAAACAATACCTGATGACACAGGTGATCAAATACGACAACTAAAGGTGAATCCTACCCAGAAACCACAAGCCTCTGGCAGCAAGTGTGCCTACTGAGTGACTTGTCTGATACTAACAATATTACAGGTGGCAGGTCCATAGCATTTAATCCAGTTTAATGATTAGTGATTCAGATGTAAAGCAGCTTAAGTGTGTAAGATATCTAGGACTGTTACATAAGGGTCATACAGACATTTACACACGTCACAGATACAGATACAACCCCCCCCCCCAGGGTGACATGATAAGTGTTGATGCTATCACTCTGATGAGATCAGACAAGAGAGGTCATACGACTGCTGCAAAGTAGTCAGAATTAAATCATGTACCAAACCTGTGCATGTGTATAACCTGACCCTCGACATTTTCAGTCGTGTGTGTATGCGATTGACATCATGATCTTCGGGTAACACTAGACTCTAGGATCTGTTACAGCTGGCAAAGATTGAGGACGTGGCGACTGCTGTCAGAACAATACTCAAATAATAGAGCAAAGTATGTGGACAGAGTTCAACAATGATATTACGTGAACATGCACACCATGCACGCATGCACACCATGCACGCATGCACACACACACACACACATACACACACACAGATAACAGCATGTGTTAGCTGAGCACCATTACCGCGTCGAGTGTCAAGGAGTAAAAGCACGATCGAGAACACACATACTGATTCAATTTCACAGCCCAGAGGCCGCCGGGTGCCAGCACTGCCAACAGTACACACACACATACAAGTGCACACACACACACACACACACACACACATATATACACAATGGTGAAAATGCTCTGACCTTTTCCTTATTAAAAATTTGCACACCACATTGTACAAATTCAAGATTACAAGTACAGCTTCTGTGTTCAAACTTTCACTAGGGCACGAGCAGCAAAACATACTTCAGTATCAAAAGTACTTTTACTCAGTATGGAGAATGAAACATCAAATATTTATTGTATTTTGATACTGTCTCTGGGCCCAGTGGTGCCAATCTAACTACTTTTTTATAGCATTGTAATGCATAGCTATGCATCATATTTTAAAGTTTACAGTATAGTATGTTTTGTACGTACAGTTTTTTATCGGTGACATAACTAACTACTCCTTAAAACTAAAATAAAATGGAGTAAAAACATCAAATACATCTGAAATGTAGTGGAGTGTTGTTAGAAATACTCATTTAGGTGGCGGTACTTCATAATTGTACTTAATACAGTGCAGTTACATAATATGTTCTGTATTACGTCCACCTCTACACACACAGGCAGTATTTGTTTCCCCCCAGTGTTGCCTGCTGTGTATGAGATACTGATACTTAAGTACTGAAGGTACTGCATTTGCTGCATTGAATAGTGTTGATAATCACCAACAGCGATTTACCTCATATCCTCATTTTCACAGCATCAAAAAGCCAACCAGAGAAAACTATCCATAAACCCTGCTCATCACAGTGTAACACACACACACACACACACACACACACACACACACACACACACACACCACACACACACACACACACACACACACACACACACACACACACCACATTAAGGCTGGTTGGCGGAGCAAAAGGCTCAGCTCTGGAAATAATTCATAAAGAAAGGAGGATCTGAACTCCCCCTGCACTGTTGATGAAAGTAAGTACCTTCCTGTGTGTCTTAGTACATAAACGCACACATGCATGGAAAAAGACTTAACACACTGACATATTTTCATTTCCCTATACACAAACTCCATGATAATGTCTCTATTCACACATGTATTTGCATATCTCCTTAATAACAGGACAAAACAGGACACTTTCTGCAAGGTTGCAGCTCATCCCTCCTATGTTCTACAGCTGACTGTGCAGCTCTACTACACGTGAGACCATTTCTCTCTCGGTGTGTAGTGCCAGACAAACCAGGCTCCATCAGCTGGCAGCTTCTGCGCTGAAAGCCCAGACAAGCTAACCCCAATACCCTTCTGTCTCAGTACATCAGCAACCCTAACTCCACAAGCGGACAACACAGCTCGTCAATTATTCAGAGATTATACCTTCTCCACGTCAGACACCAAAGGCACGGCCAAGACAAGGGCAGCCAGAAGAGGGCTGAGCATGTTTTACATGAATGCAAATGCCTGTGCAGTTTCAAGAATTTCCTCACCAGGCTTTATGTGCAAACAGAAACGCCTTTCTACCTGTCACACTTCTCTCTCCCTCTTTTGCTATAGAAAAGTGGTGGACGCTTACTGTGTATTAAGGGGACGAGCCCCAACGACAAACAAGCAACACCTGCTGTGCATCTAATACTGTATGTAGCGTGGTTACCGTATATGACACGGTTATGTGTGTGAAGTAATCAAAGGTACAGTAGACCAAAAAAAAATGTCAGGAAGTACAGGCTGCCAACAAAACCATGAGTTGCTATGGTAACTAGAAAAATGCCCCCCCCCCCCCCCCCCCCCCCACACACACACACACACTCCTTGTAGTGCAAAAGTATCAGCTTGGTTTCTAAGGAAACCTCTCCCACATGCTGAAGAGAATATGCCTCTACAGAATCTGTAGCTTAAAATAATTACCTCAGCATCTCTGCTAAAACACAGCAAACCCATTACCTCTGTCGGCCGCTGAGATGAAAAACACACAGCGGTGAGTCTCTCCAAACAGCGTTTTCAGACTATGATGCTAAATCTATGCTAGTCGCTGACATGACATATTAGCTGTCATAAGGCACCAAGGTTGATGCACAAGGCTGACAGGCCGGCGGATCAATGTTACACAACAGATGTATGACAGTAACCCCTTCCTACACGCTCACATGCATTCACACACACCTAGAGGCCTACTTCAGCATGTACAAACACCACTACTTCCTCTCTGCACTTCTGCTTTTTGGTTGCATTTTTTTATATATAAATAAATGGTTTGTTGCTCAACCTAACAAAAAAAACAGCCATCCTACCCATCTGAGTTGGTTTTCCTCTTACAAATTCATCTACCAGAGGGAGTGTTGTCCTGATTCTGTACCTTAGCTGCACGCTTGGGCTGGCGGAAGAACGTGGTCTTGGCTGTGAAGAAAGTGAAGTCTTCACTGTCATCATCCAGGCTGCAGTACCCGCTGCTCATGCTGTTACTGCTGGTCATGGATGGAGTCAGTACTGTATTCACAGTCATGGAGAGGTCCAGAAATGGCCTCCGGCACCAGCGCAGCACCAGAGCAACACGCTGACAGCTTGAGGAAGTGCTGGTCTATTCACACTTAGCCACAATCAGAGTATACGCGCATCTAGCTGTTCTTTACTCATCCAGAAAAAGTCAGCGCTCCTCTGTTGATGCATCCAGAGAATTTAAGTCCCACCTGCGAGGGCGAGACAGGTGAACTCAGCTCAGATTCGGCGCTTTGCGTGCCACCGGAGAGGGGACCAGGAAATCCGAGAGCGAGCACAGACGTGTCACTTCCTCCTTACGTGTGTGTGTGTGTGTGTGTGTGTGTGTGTGTGTGTGTGTGTGTGTGTGTGTGTGTGTGTATGCTCTGATGCCGGTGTCACAAACACTAGCACACCGTACAGTATATGCACCTGGTCATTTGCAGCTAAACATACACACATGTAGACACTCATACACGGTATGTAACGGCCTCACATGCAGGCACACGCTGGTGTCGCGGAGTCAGTTTACAGGTTGGTTTCAAGTTAAGCCTGCTCACCTGAGAGCTCCTGTTATGCCCGCAAAACAAACACTCATATAGGCATGCAAGCAATACCACATCCTGCTGTCTTTCCTGTGCTGTGTCTCTGTAACGACCCGCTGTGAACAAACAAAGGACAGCTCAATAAATTGTGTGCGAGCATCCATCCATCCCTGGGGTCCAGAGTAAACAACGGCAGAAGATCTCTTGGCGTTCACAGAGCCTGTGCTGCCTCCCCTCTTCTGGTCTCTCAGCTGCTCTGGCAATACTACCACAGAGATGGATGCCTCCCACAGCCTCTCTCTCTTTCTTACTCTCTCCCTCCCTCTCTTCTCCTCTCTCTCTCTCTCTCTCTCTCTCTCTGCCGGTCTTTGCACCCAGTTTACTCCCTCACTCTCTTGCAGCCTTGCTCAACCATCTGTGGTCGAGTGTGTTATCATCCTGCAAGCACCCTCCCCCTTCTCCCTCCTCTCTCATTCTCTCTCTCTCTTCCTGCAAGCGACTGCACCCTGCAGAGCATGGCCACTTCCTCTTTCAGAGAGACAGAGAGACAGAGAGACAGAGAGAGAGAGAGAGATAGAGAGAGAGGCATGGGAAAGTAGAAAGAGAAATGCTGATGAGTGAGAGATATGAACCGTCACAGCAGCTCCTGTTTTACATACGCAAGAGCAGCAGTGACAGGAAGCAGCAGAGAGGCTGGGGAAGATGGCTGCTCTTCTACTGTGATTCTGCAACCACTGTAAGTGTGTGGCATTTATGTAGGACCATGACATGAATAAGGGCTTATGTTTCGACACCCAAACCAATCGGTGACAGACATGGACCAGACAAAAAACAAAACAAAACATAACCTCCACAGTTGCACTGCCATGGCTGGTTTCTTGGTGGAGGGGAGGGCTCACTCACAGCGCTAAATGTGAGATTAAGAAAATAATGAATGATTTCCCACAGGATGGAGATTATGGTCACCTCTAACCTCACGCTGACCTCACGATCTGCCCTCTGACTCTGGCAGTGACCCCCTTGTCAAAGAGCAGCTAATGCCCCTGTCACACTGCTGAGACTGATGCGTATGCGTTTCTGTCTGCACATGTTGTTTCTGTGTGTGTCTGAAATGATTTTTAGATCTACTCAGATATGATTATAGGTAAACCTATATGCTGCCGGTGGGCTGCGGCATGCAGGGGCAGTGTGTCGCCCTTTCATCGGGTGTCGTTCTGTCAGGTTTGAGTCAGTCGAAGACCGATTACCTGCAGCTCTGCTCCTCTTAGTGCAATCACTAAGAGGCAAGGCAGCACGCACACACACACACACTGAATGACACTGCTGCTGGCATCTAGTCGATAAAGGCTGGTCAGTGTGCTGCATGTATGTGCTTCTTAGGGGTAAAATTTCTGCTGATGCACACACAATAAGGACCTGTAAAGATAGAGGGGAAATAAAACACACACACACACACACACACACACACACACACACACACACACACACACACACACACACACACACACACACACACACACACACACACACACACACACACACACACACACACACACACAGCTATAAAACAGAGCAAAAGGGGAGAAAGAGGACTGCAGGAAATGAACTGTCATATCTCCTCTTGTCTGCAGTACTAGTGTACTCTATGAACCAAACAAGAGTGTGGAGAGGGACAGTCCTTAGTCCTGTTCACAGACATCATCAACGCTCACTTAATTCTGACTTTGAGCTCATTATCTTTTACTACACAGTCATTAAACTCAGAAAGAATAACTAGCAGTGGTTGAGCTAAAATGGCTCTACATAAAAATGGTATGGCATTATTTTCTTCAGTAGATGTAGAATATTGAAAGAAATGAGCAGGTTTTTGGATAAACAGCCTGAACTGTAGTTTTAGCAGTTGCTGCTTGACATTTGGTGAAATGCACTCGATTTATCCCCCCGCTCGTTCGCTCGCTCCAATTCTCACTATTTCCATCAACATGTTTTCTGGGTAGCATGATTGTGTGTATTTGTTCACGCTCTCTAGATGTGGAGTACTACCTGGCACACAACCAGGGGTCTAATTTTGTGTTATCTGCCCTCAGGGCGCAGAGACGCTGCCAACATTCTGCAGCAGGCCTGTGGGGTTATCCAGCTTTTTCCTCGTGCATGACATGTGTGAGTGTGTGCATGGACCACATTGCGTGGGTGACTGAGGCTGGGATGCCAGGAGCAGCATGCGGGCTCACACTCTCTCAGGTTCCTGTACTCACACATGTGCTTACACAATGAGTGGGTGAAGCGCTATTTTGAATTTTACATAATTACTGTTTTACTGGATAGCCTGCGGCTCGTACAGTATGAAATGATACAAAATATGGAACCAGTGGATAACTAGATATTTTCCACTAGCATGCCAAACATCTGGGCTTAGGTTTCACTAACATAGCTGTGTCATTATAGAGGCCCCTACAGAGGACAGTGATAACCTAATCAGTGTGCATTCATCTAAGAGAAGCCCAGGAAGCAAAGACATTGATCAATGATTTAATAAATTAAACGCATACTACAGGGGAGAGATGACTTAAACTGTGGGAGGACATGAGAGCAGGTGAAGGAGAGAGGAAGGTACTTTGCATGCTTTGGTGACGTAGCATGGTCTGCCCTGGGAACATTCTGTAACCAAAAAAAAGCAAATGAGCGCATATATAAATAAATTCAAAAGCAGACAACCGAGGAGGAGGAGGAGGAGGAGGAGGAGGGGGAAGAGGGAAGAGGGACAGCATGCCGTTAAAGAGGAGGATGGTTATGTAAAAGTGTAGGCTTAGAGAGATGCCTCTGAATGAACCCTGCCATTACCCAATCGTGACTCACGTACTCCTCTTCAAAATAACACATGTAAAGAGTTCAACTCACTAAATGTTACAGCAGTGCCTACTAAGTAACACTTTTTTTTGTTGTACTTGAAATGCTCGCCTTGTGTTGAGGGGCTGTGGAGGAGGAGGAGGAGTGGTTTCTGGGAGACGGAGTCTCTTCTGTCTCTCTGTCCCTCTGGTTGCAGTCCAGCTGGACCTGGTTCTCACACTCCTGGTGACAGGTGTAGCTGCAGTCTGATGAACACAAAAACACACCAATCAGAGACAAGAGCGCATGCAGTAGGAAAGAACTGAGGCTGAACGGAAACACTGTATACTCCTCTGTGGCATGTTATGGTAGAGAGTGTATTGCTGATTAGTCACCTGTAAGTGTGTGAGTTTACCATGAAGATGAAGTAATCAAAGATGTATCCCGGTAGTCATAGAAAAAATCCCTTTACACAGAAAATTAGCTCCATCTAGTGGCTGATGCCAGTCACACACCTACAAGGTGCCGGACTGCAGTATTAACAGAACATAACTGAAAATACATGTGTGTAGACTGAATAATCATTTTAGAGATCTGCACACACAGGACACACCTATCAACTTAATATTATAGTATGTACATTAGCCCAGCAATAACCTGTTAAAATCTTCCAACTTAACCTACTAATTACACCTTTGAAATAAACTTCTATACTTCTCATTTACCCATCAGATGGCAGCAAGCACTTAGTGTCACAAGCAATCTTCTGGTGCAGACACAGTTTATAATAGACATAGTGTACAAGGCCCAGCAAAGATCATAATACATAATTTAATACTGTATGGCAACAATGGATGAACACAGTCCTTTTACACATTCAAGGCCAACAGACTGTATACCAGTATAGCAGCCCTGATATGGTCATCTCACATCTTACTGCTCAGCTAGAAAAGAATAGATGTAGGTACTTCCCCCAAAACTTCCCGAAAATACTCCACTGTTCTTTAATTTTTATACGACCGCCTCGGCTTGTTTATGCCTTGGGGACTTTATTGTGGCCAGAGGCTTTTCCACTGAGATGCAGAGCCTCACAACCAACTTCTCCTCTGTTGGTGAGATAATCCATGCTAAAGAAAAGAGAGATTTTAAAGCCGCATGGGCAAAGAGAGGACCGCAGTTTGGGGGGAAACTCTGAGTCATCCTTTTTTTTTTTTTTTTCTGGGGCAGGACGGCTTATAAAATAAAACCCTGTACAGTAGGTGACATGAGATCACCCAGATTGAATAAAAACATAAACCTGTTTCAACAATGTTGAAAAGCTTCAAATTAACACATTGTTTTCCGGTACACCTCTTTGTTGCTGCAGTCAGTGCAGAATGACTGAGCTGAGCCAAGCCTGGTTGGTTTTCTGTGTACTGATATTAGTGGCTCTGTCTGTATCGTGCTAAGGAGAGGGACACCACTGCGTCTCTTACACGCAGCATCAGCACCGTAACCATGGCAACAAGAAAGGAGCTCTACTTACATAAGGTCACCGGTAAAACGGCTGTGTGTGGAGGGTTTTTTAATTAGCTATAAACCTCAGATTAATCACCAACAACATTTACTTTCATGCCTTGGAATTGCAGGTATTTTCACCATGTATTTTGCACTGGCATGGAAAATAGTAGGCCTGATTATTGAAGCAGGGACAAACAAGAGACAGAGTAAAGTGGGTGCAGGACAGGGCTTACTGACAGGAGGGGTATGTCTAACAAAGATAAAGTTCAGTTTAGATAAAGGATACTTTGCTCATGACAGCTTAGAGGTCGCTGCATTAAGAGAGGGAGATAGAGGTAAGTATGTGTATGTGTGTGTGTGTGTGTGTGTGTGTGTGTGTGTGTGTGACGGAGACAGGTTGGCAGGTAGAGAGAGTGATAGGGAAGGGCTGCAATGCCTTGCTGACAGGAAGGATGTGTCGAGGAAATAGTTCAGATAAGGGATTCTCGGCTCATGACAGTTTAGAGGTCACCGCGGAAAGAGAGAAAGAAAGGAAGCACACAGGGGACGGGCAGAGAGAAACTCCTTTCCTGTCCAGCTTTCCTTCATTTACTCCATCCACCCTCACTCTGGAGTGCACACTGTGCCTCTACTTCCATATTCGGCCGTAGAAAAGTAAATTTTTGGGGGAATTATGCTATACAGTAAGCATAAAGAAGCTGGCTAACTTAGCTTAGCACAAAGACTAGAAACAACGGGAAAGAGCTAGCTTGGCTAGCCATAAAATGACAAATCATCATTTAGAGGGGCTGGTAGATTAATTTTGTCTTTGGACAGACCCGGGCCAGCTGTTTCCAGTCTTCACATTCACCATACAAACACGGGAGTGGTATTGATTTTCTCATCTAACTCGCGGCAAAGAAACAAATGACCATATTTCCCAAAATGTCAGATGTTTCCCTAAAAGAGGCCCTGTGGAGATTTTTGTAAATAAATAGCAACGCTTTGTTTACATGCAGTGTTACTCACCAAAACGCTTTATGTGTTCACT